GACATCAAGATTGTTTAAAACTTTTGGAGATAAACATAATAGACTCATCCACATTGTTAAGTATTTTGAAAGTAAAAACATCTCAGATACAGGCAGCCAGCTGCAACAGAAGTTTAAAAAATGTCTTTACAAGATAAATAATGAGTGAAACAAATTTATCACCACTTGAGTACAGATGCAACATGTAAAGGATGAGATATTCAGGGCAGAATGTTATCAAACGTCGATAAAAAAAAGTTCATGTAATCAAAGAAAAAGGCTCTAATAATAGCACAGATGCGCAGACATGAACTGCAGGTTAGAATTGAATTTCGAAGAAAACTTGATCAACTTTTATAAGTCAGAAGCATGAATCTAGCAAAGAGAAAATAATGATATTAACAACCAACTAGTAGCCCCAAATGTGAAAGCTGAGAAAAAAGACATCCCTCCTTTTGCACATAATAATCAAAAGCAAGACTGAAAAGAAATAAAGAGAGGAGGAGAAGAAGACGGTCTTTATCCATCAATACTGGCGATAAAACTGTTTACTTCTAGCACTGAAACTGACAAATAGTGATAATTACAGGACCATTTATTTGCTTTCACTCATTATTTAAAACAATAACAGTATGTGGCAATCCCTTTCAGATTTTTTTGTCTGAGAATTACGTTTCAGCAAAACGGTCTCTCCCAGACCCAGTTGAATAAAATGACACCAACAATTCAACTAACTCACCCCCCCCCCCCCCCCCAAAATGCAAAAGACAAAAAAAACAACAACACCCAAAACAAAGAGAGAGACAAGGCATGAGAACATATTTACTTCCTTAAGCACATTAACATAATGTTCCTGCCTCACAGGACACATTACAGTTGAACTTGCTCTAAAGGCCACCCGTCCAAGACATTCACCTGTACAAATGATCACTCCACCCCTAGTGCTGGGCGGCTAGGTTCACGATTATTGAATGCTAGGAATCGTAGGAATAGGACTCCGAACCCAATTATTGCTTTCTAATGATGTGATTTCTACCGGTGGTAACCTGGTTGGCTCCGAGCATCTTCAGGATTTAGGATAATCTTGATTTCGGAACACTACAAGGCATCAACTTTTTATTTTTCCAAAAAATAAATTCTATAAAAAAAAAGAAAAAAAAGAAAAGATTTTAATGATTAAAGTAACTGGTAACCATTGGTTAATGTAAAAAGGAGTCACTTTTCTTCCGTAGTACTAATCGCGGGAATTGGTTCCGGAATCGATTCTTCGTCCAGCTCTCTCCCCAGCCTCTTTTCTCTATTATTATAACGATACTGTCCAAGATGGCCATTGGTGAGATCCTACTACATTTCTCCACGACAATGGGTGACCGTCTGGGATAATTTCAAGCGTATATTCTTTGCAGCGCAAAAAGATGTATTTTGCTTCACTGTATCAAAAGAAGCAAAATAACTGCTAGCAACCAATTCGAATAATATATAAAAGAGAAAGAAAATAAGAAAATAAAAACAAGAAACAACAAAAAATAAAAACAAAACAACGACAAAAAACCCTGATTACAAGACAGGTGGTTTTAGATCCTAAGCCAGATGCCAGATTTAAAAAACCCACCAAACATGGAAAGCGAAAGTGAACCCTTATCCATTCCAGTGTCATGCAGCAAGAGACAAATACATATACAGAACATGCAAAAGAAATACCCAGCGTGTTTTGATTTTAGATACTTGTGTGTTGTTTACCTAATTTATGCTGTGTGTGTGCCTAACAAAAGGACATCCGATCAGTTATAACCCTGGTGAAGAAGGGAACGGTGAAATGAACAAATTGTGCGTGCTTCATTAAAGAAGAGTAAGTATTTGAAAAACAAAAACCTCCAAATAATGATGAGAACTTTCGAAGTAAAATGATAACTTAAATAAAAACAAAAAACAAAGGGAACAAAAAGGAAAGCCAGAACTTTTGAAGAATGTCTTTTTTTTTTCCTTTCTCATGAAAAGGGAAGATAAGAAACCAACATATAAATCTGCCAACCACTATGCCAAAAACGAAATAGAATTAACTCAAGTGGAATTACCTACAGAAATGAAACAGTAAACGATCCAAATCATGAGATTTGCCCAATAATCAATCAATCTCTCTCTCTCTCTCTCTCTCTCTCTCTCTCTCTCTCTCTCTCTCTCTCTCTCTCTGTACCCCCCCCCCCCCACTTTTCTAAACACTGTACTATAAAATGCATTGTAGACTATAAATGCATGAGAAATAATAATAATAAAAATAATAATTGCAAACACAGTGGAGAGATTTTTTTAAAAAACCCAATGCTGTACTGATATATAAAAAACCATCCCAAACTGCTACAGAATTTAAAAAACAACAAAATCTGAATGTACAGAGCATGCTATCAACTTGTTCTACTTATATTCACCATAGTCCGCTACATAAGGACATCGTACGTAAAGTATAGCAATCTCGTCTGGAACAAACCGGTAGATGTGGGTTAGAGACCCAGAGCAAAGTGGTAAAAAAAATACGTTTTTAAATAGGTGCTTTTACGCATGCATCAAGAGTTTAGATCATTTAAGAGTTGAGCTTCAACCCTGCCCATCAGGGGCACCCCCCGGCTGGGAGGGAAACAACATCTCGCCAAAAGATTCAATAATAAGTCTCCTCACTCCAAAATCAAAGCGCCCAACTGAAACCCCACAGACACTATAGCAAAGTGGTCAGTAAAATTAATGAATTACCAACTACAATGTGTAATCTGTTGTAAAGATATCAGGAATGGGTTTTTATCTATTACACTACGCACAGAGCCAAGTTGTTGGAGAGCCCTAAAAACTCCCCCAAAACAACAAGTTTAGTTTTAGTTTTAGTAACAGTTTCACTGCACTTGTAACACAAGTAGGTCGTATAAATGCCAAAGACTGGAGGCGTTACAAGAGAGTACCTTCTTTTTTAAAGGAGGAGAGATAAGGACGATAGATCTTGGATGAGAAAGAAGGAACAAGCCACACCAGAGGGCCCACCAACCACCTACAAATAATCCTAGTTCAAGAACGCCCCCCTTGGGAATTCAAACAAGAGTCCAACATGCCATAGCCTAGTACAATATTAACTGGATTAACAGCAGGCCTTTAAGACGGAGATCTTTAGGTTAGATTAGAAAATTAAAAGGTCTAATGGGCATCCTAGAAAGTTACACCTCAAAATTATAAATTAAAAAGTTGAGAGCACTAACAAAAACATCTGTGCTTAGAGCTAAACAATACCTTGAGATAAAAGACCTTCATACAACGAGAGAGAAACTTGCAAGCTGCTGTTTTTGGTAACATTTATTGTTATAATAGGCCCAACTTTAGAGTCTACACTTCTTAGAAAAACTGAGAACATTAGAGGTCTCATTCGCAACTAAAACATTCAAGCAGAAAATAACAACCCAAAAAAAGATAAGTAATGAAAGTTACACAATGAACAGTTTGAAATAGATTAAAGTAACAGATCAAGAAGAAATGCCAACGGGGCAACAAGAGTCTCCAGAAGTTACCCGAGAGTCTCGGGCAATGGTGATGTCACGGCCAGACGTAATCCTAAAACCTGGTAACTGAGGGAAAAATATGAAATTTATTCTTGGTGCTGTTGTTGATGGTGGTCTTCTCCTTCGGACCTCACAAAGCCCTGACTGTACATTTTTCAACCCACAAAACAACACAGACACTGAACCCTTTGAGACCTAGTCACTGGTACACTGGTGGCACGTAAAACTGCCCCTATGCCTAGCCACCGGTAAAGTGGGGAGCGAGACCCTATCCCCAACTTGACCCGCCTGGAATAATGTGCGCACAGGAAACCGTGTTTACTACACAGGACGTTTTTGATTACTTTGAAGATCTTTCTGAATTAGATGCTGGTATTTTATAAGAACTACCCTGAATGGGATATGGAATGTGATTCTAAGGATCATATGAATGTTAATGACAGTAGCTTCAGGAGGTCAGGGCACAAAAGGTTAAGAAAGAGACAAATAGGCTGATTTTACCACTAGAGCATACAGTGTCCATCTCCTTTCCAGCAGCCTACTTATTGCCGTTGTTAAAGGTACTTATCTCACTAGTCACATAGACCAGACCATATATTCAGTTTTGGATTGGGACTTATTCTGATTTGAACCTAGACAGAGCCAAAGAAGGGTACCCCAAACCCTGATGCATCAGAACACACTGAAAGAAGTATTTATTATGTCAAATACAACTGATTTCATCATTAGATACAAATAAAAGAGCGAAGATTTTTTAACATACACATAGATAAGAGACTGGACCAGGGACATTCTGGGTCACGACCACTATGACAATACAAATATACTCAAAAGATCTTACAAAACTGAAAGTCAGGAATAAACTGTCTTTAACTTTAAGCCTCTAGGAAGGTTGTTGGACAAGTGCCTAGAGATTCCTAGTTCAGTTTGAGTAAAGAGAGGAATATGAACACAACAACTTTTATTTTGGGCAAGAAAAAAGCAAGACAGACAGTATTATGCCCCTCCCCCCCCCCCATGTCTTCGTACATAATGATTATCACAAAACACAGTCTCCTGCTCTTATAGCTAAGAAGTAGGACCTACTGATGATACTCTTCAGCCACCTGCCTATATTTTGTCTTTAGAGACCAGATCAAACTTGTAGCATAAAAAAAAAGAATTTAAAAAACCTCTGTATGGTGAAGAGCAGCTGACGGATGAAGATTTGAGACATGGTGGACAGTAATGCCCTACAAGCCATAACGACATTTTACTTTTCACAGCACAGTATTAGGTATCATGTTAGCTTGAAAAGCTAACTAAGGAAAAAAAATTATTCCAGACAGGATGAGAAAAATTTGGAACTGAACCCAGAACTTATGGGGCAGGTTAACCATGTTCATCAACGTACTGTGGCACACAGAAAAGGCAAGATAACTCTGAGGATGTAAATTAGCAAGAGTTGCGGGGACTGGCGTCTCCTTGCCTGGTGGTTCAACTCACCTCTGTCTTTGCGGGTTTCAGTATTGTGTAGGGGGCAAAGCCCACTTCTTTATTGAAGTTGCGGAGTTTCCACCAGTTTTTGCTCCTGTCAAGTACCTAAGGATGGAAAAGACAATAAATATACAGACTGTGAAAATGAAACACACATTCCCCCCCCCCCTCCCTTCCCTAACAAAACATCAGCAATACAGTGTCAATAAATATATAATGAGAGGCATCCGGGTGAAATCAGGCGTTCGCCAAACTACTGAAATCGAAGAAATCGGCATTTTTCGGCCGGCTTAGAAATTTTTTTTCAATTTTTGTTTTTTCGCTCAACACCTTGTATGTATATTCAAAAACATTCTTATGAGAGGATTTTAAGGGAAAACGTTGATAAAAGGCATGAAAAGTATACATTTGCAGTTTCCAAGGACTCTTGAGCTATGGAAGTCACCAAACTTTGGCAACCATTTTCTCACTAATTCTTATTATACTAAAACCAGGCAACCCCCACCTCCATTAATCAAAAATATCTTGACTTCTATTCAAGATAAATGGATATTTTTTTAATCAAAAGCAAGGCAATCAAACAACCTTTATGTGATACCAATAACTCCATATTCCCAAAAATTGACGAGTGCCTGATTCCACCACATCGTGACACATAAACACAACTTGTGTCTTCGTTTATCACATTAACCAAATCTGATATTTCGGTCGGATAGACTGTTTTAGTAAGAGTTTTACAGCACTTGCAACACAATAAGGTCATATAAGTGCCGAAGATTAGAAGTGTTACAAGAGAGTAACAAACACAGAAAAGGAGGACGATAGATGTTTGAGAGAGAAGAAAGAGCAAACCACCCATGGAGGCTAAAACAACACCTGGACATGGATCGCTGGTGCCTCTATAAATAAATTATTGATGGTCACCATCCATGGTTGGCTTGAATTAAGAGGAGGAGAAGCAAATTGACATATTTATCATTCGGTACAAGGAAAAAGTGAGACACACCCAAAAACAGAAACAACAGACAGAAAGAAGGAAAAGAAGTAGGACTTATCTGCAGCACCCTTCAACCATCCATCCTCCTAACTTTTTTTCACAACATAGTTCAGCCATCATGACACATGTCATATGAATAAGGGATATGGAGAATTATGACAGGTTTAAAACTACCAAAACTAGAACTTGCAGCAATCTCCAAAATTTTTCTTCATCTGAAAAGATTAGCTGCTTTATACTACCTACCCTAGGATCAAGAGAAGTAAATAACATGACAAAAAAACAAAAATAATGCCGGGAGTTGATCGAACTTTAGACATTTGGGTTGACAGGTGAAAATCATACCTGTTGAGCCACAGAGAACTTACTGTAAATTTTTTACAACCCCACAAACACAATTTAGACAGTTTCAGAGGCAGGCTGCCGAGGTCCACCCTGTCACAGCCAACCTGGACCGAGTAGGATACAGCATCCCTTCAGACAGACACAAATGTACTCCAAAAAATAAACTTCCCCTGAAGATGGCCAAACTGACATTTGTGAGGCATGCATACAAAATGAGCTACTTTTCGGATCTTAGCCCCATGGATAGATACGTCAAATTTATAGGTTCGGTTCATGCGGTCGCTTTTAAGCACAAGGGGGCTATCCCGAAAAATGCTGTTTTGAGAAAATCAAAGTTATAGTTTTTGGATTCTTAATCAGCCTCTTTAATAAAAGACAAGGACAGTTTTCTCTATAACCAAACAAATATAGACACCAATGAAACCAAACTTCTCCTATACGCAGCAGGGCAATGCCCACTTTTGGTGTAGGTCAAGATTTCTGGATATCCCCAAAATCCGGGTTAGCCCGCTTGTCCTTAAAAGCAACCATATAATTTATCATATGAAATGATATAAGACATGTTTAACCTGAAAAAAAATGGTATCAGTAGAAAAACCAACAAACTTCACGTGTCTATTTTCGACCTACATCTCCATTCGTGGATTGTGAGAATTAACTCATTTTGTTGGCACCGCTCACATTTACAGCTTGCAAGGCAAAGAGCCCAAACAATACCCAACTTAGAGCCAGTCATACTGAGGACTCACCTGCAAAACATCACCCTTCTGGACTGTCAACTCTTTGGCATTTTTGCCAGTTCTGTCGTGAGCTGCTTCGTAGATTCTGTGATATGGAAAAAAAACCAACATGTTAGCATTAAAAAAATTAAAGCGCGAGTAAGGACCTACCAATGGCACCCTTCAACAACTCACTGAGAGTAGTGAGAGGGAGGGGTATTTACCCTGCAAAGCACAAGGTTTACGAACTGGTCAAAGTAAAGTTAAATACCCCCCCCCCCCCCATTGTGTTTGTAAATAATGTCAATTTTAAAGATCAAGTACCAGTAAGGACCAACCAGTGGCACCCTCTAATGAGAGAGAGAGAGAGAGAGAGAGAGAGAGAGAGAGAGAGAGAGAGATAGAGAGAGAGAGAGAGAGAGAGAGAGAGAGAGAGAGAGAGAGAGAGAGAGAGAGAGAGAGAGAGAGACAGGGAGGGAGGAAGGGAGGGAGGGGGAGAGGGAGGGAGAGAGGGAAAGAGAGAGACAGACAGAGAGAGACAGACAGAGAGAGACAGACAGAGAGAGAGTAAAGTAGAAGGTTTACAAATAGATCACAATAAAGTACCCCCCCCCCCCCCCCCCCTTGTCTTCATAAATAATGTCAATCACAGCAGACAGTTTCCTGTTCCTGTATGACATAGCTGCCACCCCACAGTGACTCTGGATGTTGTGCACTCGGTCAAGCAGTATGAAATAAAGGGGGGGGGCACAGGGGTTTAACCTTTCTTTTAGTCCCAGACTTACTCGGCATCTCCAGAGCGTCTCAACTCTTCAAAGTAAGCGGCGTTCTCAGCCTGTCTTGACATGGGTGTCACTAAGTGGTGGGTCTCGACCCGCTGTGGCTCTGGCCTCCCAACTCTGGAACAGTACCGGGATACTCATATATTAAATACTTCAAACACAAAGTCTATGGTTATTATAATGACGCCAATTTCAGAGGAATCTTTTCCCCATCACATAGAACTAAGCGATTTCTAAAATTTCACTCCCCACAATAATTACCTATTTCTTACACGACACGTGAACATGTAATATTTCCTCAATACACTACACAAACAGACTTAGCCACGGAAAACTGCTATTCCTGTATAGTTTTTCACAAAACAATTTTATCTTAAGAATTTCAAACCCAAATGCTACATTTTACTCATCTATTTTTCTTCACAGCAAAATCCTAGTCACAGTCTTATTGTTGACAAATCGATTACTTTCATCATGATTGTATAAAAAATGATGTTCTCAGTAAATTCAAAATTATTAAACTTTTCTAAACCCCCCCTCCTGAAAAAAACAAAACACAGAATAAATTATCACAACTAAATCCGACAACTTTCAACAAAACGCGTTTCATCGTGGAGTGCTAATCAATAACCATTCATTATAGTGCTAATAGAAGTTCCTTTAAAAAAGTAAAGCATTTACACACATGGCACAGTAACTTTTGAGAATATGAAGGAACTACTCTCAAGCTTACCAAATGAAAAAAAATTCTATAACAAGCTGTAAATGGGAAGTTATCACTACATAAGATTGCTAGAGTATTAGATTACTTATCTCTTGCAATATTTAGACATACAAGAAAAGCTTCATATGAAATGAAATTTGAACATTTAAAATTTAAACAAAAACGTGAAAACCCCCCACAAAAAATGAAACAAAACAAAACAAAAAATTACAAGAGTCCATCTCTTTTTTTTTAAAAAGATTCTTTTTTCGAACCAAAATGTTACGGTGCACAAGGAAAAATAATAGAATGAGCAGCCAATCCTTGGGTTACGTGAGATCTACAGAGGGTTATTGGAGCAACTCGTACTCTGGTACATAACGACAGCCATAGAACTACATGGATAGGTGAAACTTTTTTACCCATATATATAATATATAAA